GCTGTAAAGCACTGTGAAGTGATATATGTCTAAGTGATATTGGGAAGGAAGGAAGGAAGGAAGGAAGGAAGGAAGGAAGGAAGGAAGGAAGGAAGGAAGGAAGGAAGGATGAACTATGGTGGTGCGGTGGTGAGACTGCAATATTGCAGGCTAATTCTGCCCACTGCCAGGAGTTCAATCCTGACCAACTCAAGGTTGACTCAGCCTTCCATCCTTCCGAGGTGGGTAAAATGACCCAGATTGTTGGGAGCCATAGGCTGACTCTGAAAACCGCTTAGAGGAAGCTGTAAAGCACTGTGAAGTGATATATAAGACTAAGTGATATTGGGAAGGAAGGAAGGAAGGAAGGAAGGAAGGAAGGAAGGAAGGAAGGAAGGAAGGAAGGAAGGAAGGAAGGATCTGTGGTAGCGCAGTGGTTAGAATGCAATATTGCAGGCTAATCCTGCCGACTGCCAACAGTTCGATCCTGACCGGCTCAAGATTGACTCAGCCTTCCATCCTTCCGAGGTGGGTAAAATGAGGACTCAGATTGCTGGGGGCAAGAGGCTGACTCTGTAAACCGCTTAGAGAGGGCTGTAAAGCACTGTAAAGCGGTATACAAGTCTAAGTGCTGTTGCTATCGCTATTGTATTACTTTCCCCACTTCCTTAATCCATATATAAAGAGCAGAAGTGGTCTATTCAGAATCCAGGGAGATTTCTGAATAAGAGATGAGCCCGACTGACGGCTTGAGTAAGACTCGAGACAACGACGTGAAACACAAGAGGATAAAATTCTCATACTTTATATAAGCTTCATGAAAATATAAGCCATGGTCAGATAGTCACCCACACATTGCTGGTTTCATAGGAACGTGGGGAAAAAGGGTCTTTCTAGGTGAGGGCCCTTGTTTGAAACTCACTGTGCCCATCTCCTACAGCAGAGGTCTTCAAACTTGGCAGCTTTAAGACTTGTGGACTTCAACTCCCAGAATTCTCCAGCCAGCATAGCTGGAGAATTCTGGGAGTTGAAGTCCACAAGTCTTAAAGCTGCCAAGTTTGAAGACCTTTGTCCTACAGGGATGTTGGAACCTGTATCTCTGATCCATTTTCCTTCTTCATCAGAGGTGAGTTTCAGCAGGTTCTGACCAGTTCTGGAGAACCGGTAGTGGAAATTTTGAGTAGTTCGGAGAACCGGTAGTAAAAATTCTGACTGGCCCTGCCCTCATCTATTCTCTGCCTCCCAAGTCCCAGCTGATCGGGAGGAAATGGGGATTTTGCAATATCCTTCCCCTGAATTGGAGAGCGAATGAAGATTTTACAGTATCCTTCCCCTGCCACTCCCACCAAGCCACGCCCACCAAGCCACACCCATAGAACCGGTAGTAAAAAATTTCTAAACCCACCACTGTAATCTTCATGCTTTACTTTTTAGCATTTTAATCAATTTGATCCCTATGTACGATGAGGACCATGTTTTCTTGGAGAAATTAAAGGAGAAAAGGAGAACAAATCTAAAAGAGGGTCACAAGGATCATTTTTTTTAAAAAAAAGTATTTTTGTTTATGGCTTTGCTTTGCGTAGGAAAATCCGAGAAAAACTTAACGAAAGCACATATTCTAATAAAAACGTCTCTAACTATAATCTATGATCTATAAAAACAACAGTGCACGGATGTTTATTTTCAAAGACAACTGCATTTTGCCTGTTTTTCATGCGGATGTGAAAGACGGCGGTACCGTTTTTAAGGTTAAAGCCAAAGGTCCAAAGTAAAGGACAAAAATGAGCTTTTGAAAAATAACTACAGGAAATCCTCGACTCACGACCACAATGGAGCCCAAGATTCCTTGTGTGTCCAATCATAATTGGCCAATAAAAAATTCTATTCTCTTCTATTCTATTCTATTCTATTCTATTCTATTCTATTCTATTCTATTCTATTCTTTCTATTCCATTCCATTCCATTCCATTCCATTCTCTCTCTTCTCTTCTCTTTCCATTCCATTCTCTCTTCTTTCTTCTTTCTCTTCTCTTCTCTTCTCTTCTCTTCTCTTCTCTTCTCTTCTCTTCTCTTCTCTTCTCTTCTCTTCCTATTCTCTTCCCTTCCCTTCCTTCCCTTCCATTTCCTATTCTATTCTATTCTATTCTATTCTTTCTTCATTCCATTCTTCTATTCTATTCTATTCTATTCTATTCTATTCTATTCTATTCTATTCTATTCTATTTATTCTATTCTATTCTATTCCATTCATTTTTCCATTCATTCCATTCCATTCCATTCCATTCTCTGTATATTCTATTCTATTTCTATTCTATTCTATTCTATTCTATTCTATTCTATTCTATTCTATTCTATTCTTTCTTCATTCCATTCTATTCTATTCTATTCTATTCTATTCTATTCTATTCTATTCTATTCTATTCTATTATTCTATTCTATTCTATCTATTCTATTCTATTCTATTCCATTCCATTCCATTCCATTCCATTCCATTCCATTCCATTCTCTATTCTATTCTATTCTATTCTATTCTATTCTATTCTATTCTATTCTATTCATGGGGAATCCTAACATTCCCCTTCCCTTACGCCTTGTTGCAATTTCCGTCAAATGCCTGCCGTCTGGCTACCAGCTTTTGTTCAGTGTCCCCAAATTCGGAGACACAAAACACAAAACAAAGGACCAAAAACAAGACAAAAACGAGGCGTCATTTGCATTCCTAGTTTGGAGTAATCAGGGAGAGGTAGATTTGGTTTCGTTTCGGATTAAACAAATGCCCTGATGGATTTCTTCCCCCTTGTTTACTAGGAAGACACGGTCTGCGCCTCAGTTTCTGAGCGGTAAATTCGTTGGGCACAGAACAGCCAGAGCAATCCCTGGAGGTAGCAATATTGCAACTCTCTCTCTCCCTCCGCTTTTTTGCTGTAATTTCACAATGCATTTTGCATCTTAGAAGAAAGGGGGGGGAAGCAACTCTCTTTTCTGCACCTACCCCCTCCCCAATCTAAGACATCATAGCCCACTTCATTAGTATCTGTGGCATATTCTGCAACCGAGGTGCTTTTGGGTAAGGAGATTTTGTGTCTCCTACTAGGGATTATCCCATTCAGCCTAAGGGTCATTCTCAGTGAATGTAACACAACCGGCAGAAAATGCTTGAATCAATGGTCAAAAAAAAAAAAAAAAAAGAAAAAAAGAAAAAAAAGAAAAAAAGAAAGAAAGAAAAAACCCTATCTGGAGGGGACGAGAAAACTCATTTGCTTAAGCTAAAACCAGAGAACTCAATGCATATAAATTACAGGCCCCCTTTTCTTCTTTGACGGCGGTGAATACTCTTGTGTGCGAGTGAGTGTGTGCGTGCCTGAGTGTGTTTTAAATCACAAGCAGGATGCCTAAGATGACTGAGCAACCAGCAGCTAAGTACATTCTGATATTCTAAACATCACAATAATGTGATCATTTGGATTCATACTGAGAAGAGTAAAAACAATATGCTTTCTGATTAAATTATTCACGCTTGTAGCTTTTAAGTTTCAATTATAGATATCAACAACGTATGCAAGAAGGAGCAAGGAAAATGCAAACATTTCCTAGTGGAGAATATTCAAAGCAGCCAAGTTTGAGTGAAATCATTTGGAGAGAGAGAGAGAGAAAATAAAATAGATGGCTACAACTTCATGTTGCGTGTGTAGGTGTCTGAAGATTTCTCATTTAATTTGTAAATTTGAGATTGCTCGTGAGCTGATATATATTCAAATAAGTTTTCCACGGGATTTAAGTGTTTGGCAAGGTGCATTCTTCATCAAAAAAAAAAAAAAAAAAAAAGCAAAGTAGAGATTGCTTAATAAAATCCAGCATCTCAAATTTTACCTTTTAAAGGGTGCAGCTAAATGAGGTTTTAATGGGGTATCTGCTTGTAATTTTGTCAATTAATACCACCACCAGAATATGCTCCTAATTTAAAAACAGTTTTTAGTTTAAGTTAGCACAGGAATATGTGCTGACCTATTTTCCTTTCCATGCATTGATACTTACGTACTTCAATGTCACGTGGGTTTTGTACAGGAAAATTGGAAAAATAAATCTATAAAGGATATAATATCCTGAAAGAAACCAACGCAGCTTCTTTGTTAAGCAAATCTATTCTGATAATTGCCGACTCATTTTTATTTAGGCAATATCTTGATTACATTAATTGAAAGTTACAAGGGGAGGTTGCATTTTATGTTATCCATTTTACGATCGTTTCTCACGGGGATGGTGAGCATGTTTGTAGTTTTTCATTTGATGTTTCCGGTGAGTTTGAAATGATATGCTTTGGATTAGTTAAAACTGTTCCCCTTCAGCTAAAAATGCTCTGAAGCTTCCAGAGCTGAGAAGAATTTCCACTTTGGAAAATAAAAAGAAGCAGAAAACATCACCCCTTGATCCTTCCAGACTGTGAAGTTTCTATTTTTGTGCTTCTTAAATACTCTGAAGTGAGATTTTTGGCTGGTCTAACTACAAATAAATTCTCATTTATTTGGGTATGTATGACAATTTAGATTGGTCTTTTTTATATGTATAGAATCGTAAGAATTGTTCATCAATTTATCATATGCATTTTTTTTTAAAAAAGTGATGAGAATTTTTACATTACTTTTCCTATACAAATTTTTAACGGCAATTCTTAGCAAGCGACTGGACTGCAAAATTATGGGGAAGTGTGTGGTCTGTACATTACTGTAAGTAATTTTCTGATGCAAATATTTTCTGCGTGAGAAGTGCAAATCAAGACAGTTCAATTAAAAATGCTCCCCTCCCATCCCTGAACAACAGGGAAATAAGGAAATGGTAGTGTGTTTTAGTCTGGCAAGATTCTGTCCAGAGGTGTAGAATAATAAATACATCTGCTTGGAAAAGTCACAGCATGCTTTTTTGGGTTTTTTTTTTTTTAGGCCTTGACACAAGATATAAATACTGTAAAGCAAAAAATCACACCCTTTAACTGCCTGTGTCAAGGAGAAGGGAAATCAGCAGATGGGTCTAAAGATTTATTGCAAGTTTAAGATCTCTGCAAGAATCTGAACTAGCAAAATTGGTGGTAAATAAGAATTCAAGGTGGGCCAGACTTACATCTCTTGTGGGCATGAAGGGACTCGTGACTGATAACACATTTGACCCCTCTCTCGGGTTCGGCCTGGTCATCTCCTGCAGCCTGCAAAAGAAACAAGACATTTCACTTCCATGAAGATTCTGTTATCCCCTCATTCAAAGTTCTAGGTGAGTCACTCTACAGCAGGGGACTCTGCTGGGGGTTTACAGGGGTTTGGGAGAACCTCTAGCTAAGATTCTGTGCAGTTCGGAGAACCCCCAAATCCCACTCCTGGCTGGCCTTGCTCATCCCAGGAGTCCCCACATGGCCCATTTTGGATGCAGGTAAGTGCAGGGTATGTGTGGAGCCTCAGGGAGGATGAAAAACGGGCCTACCAGAAGTTTGGGAAGGCCATAAACAAGCCCATTTCCGGCTTCAGAGGGCCTCCAGAACCTGGGGAGTCCATTTTCGCCCTCCCAGAGGCTCGAGGAAAGCCTCCGGAGCCTGGGGAGGGCAAAAATGCCACCACCCCCTCCGCTGTGATACAGGAGGCTGACTAAGCCACGCCCACCCAGCAACCAGGCAGAGAACCCCTTGCTAAAATTTTTGAAGCCCACCCTTGCTCTACAGATATGTGAAACACCTTTCTACCTGGGTTCCCCAGTTGAGTTTATCATACTTCCCACGAAAACGTGTCTGTATCCAATTAGGGCAGCCTTTCTTGACCTGTGTTAGACTGCAATTCCCACATTTCCCTCTCCGCTTAAGGAAGGCAGCTCAGGGAGAAGGGATCTTCTAGGCGCACTGGTCCTTCGTTCAACAGAGGTGAGACAACAGCGTGACAGGAAGGAGATGGGAAGACCCAAGGCGCACCACAATTAAGGTATAACAAACAAGCTGCCACCGCTAGCAGTTAGTTAATGACACATTTGTCAGCTCTGTTTGTTTAAGGGGTTATGTCCCCTGCATTTTCCCTCCCTCTGACTCAGCAAGCGGTAACCATTGCTGGAGATATTTGTCAGTTGAGTTGGTGTTTCCGCAGGAAGATATCTCTGTCAAGGATAATTAAAGCTTTTCTCTGCATCTATCTTAAGAGTCAAGAAGGTCTGCTCACAAACGTCCTTCAAACCAAAGGGGGAGAGGAAATTTTCACTGCCTTGGTGTTGTCAGTCGGCATGTATGCTCTCCTACAAGCTTTCACGCCCTCCCTGCTTGTTCCCTCCCGTTCTTTTTTTTTTTTTCCTATGACATTTGAACTTTTAATTGGTTGTTTTGGCTGATGGGATCCGATGGGTGGTTGAAATATTAACAATGATTTGGCCCAAGCTGCTTGTTTGGAGGAGACTGCTGGTCAGTGATGGTGTTCGTAGATGCCTGGGAAAGTCACTCTTGGATATTGCAGTGACGTGACTGCAAGAAGGGCAATGCTCTCTACATGGGGCTCCCCTTGAGGAGCACCCGGAGGCTCCAACTGGCACAGAGTGCGGCCGCGCGGGTGGTAATGGGAGCGACATGGCGCTCCCATGTAACACCTCTCCTGCGCGAGCTGCACTGGCTCCCGGTGGTCTTCCGGGTGCGCTTCAAGGTTTTGGTTACCACCTTTAAAGCGCTCCATGGCTTAGGACCTGGTTATTTACGGGACCGCCTACTACCACCAATAGCCTCCCACCGGCCAGTACGCTCCCATAGAGAGGGGCTCCTCCGGGTGCCGTCAGCCAAACAGTGTCGACTGGCGGCCCCCAGGGGGAGAGCCTTCTCTGTGGGGGCACCTACCATCTGGAATGAGCTCCCCCCGGAGATACGGAGGATCCCGGATCTGCGCTCCTTCCGCCGTGCTGTGAAGACCTTTTTATTCCATCAGGCGGGCTTGGCCTAATTTCTTCCCTTTTTAAATATGTAAATTTTAATCTGTTTTTAAATTATTGGGGTGTTTTAATCTGTCTGGGCCAAAATGATTTAATTTGATTTTATCTGGTTTTTAAATTTTTTTGTATTTATGTATTTTATTGTTGGCTGTTCACCGCCCTGAGTCCTTTGGGAGTAGGGCGGTATACAAATCAAATAAACCTAAACCTAAACCTAATGGTTGTGGGTGATGCAGTGGGATTCACCTGGCCTGTTCATCCAACCAAGGGTATACCATATTGTTAATACCAAAATAATCCAGAGCTATTACTAGAAAGTACTAGAAGCGTTCAAATGAGAGGAGAAGTGGTTTTGGTACTAGCTTCTGTTGGATCAAAAAGCTGTCTGAATCTGGATTTCAGCCTGGGGATAGGGAGGAGAAAACGAGAAGAGGAAGAGAAGCAGTTTGGGCTTAGTAGTTAAGGTATCAACTCACAAAGCATCCCTGGCCTGCTCTCGAGTTGCCATAGGCAAGGGGGATGGGAAACCGACGAAGCAGCACAACAGCCAAAGACAGGAGCACATTCTACACATATCTTTCTCAAGGCTGTCTCCCAGAGTTACCCACAGCGGCCGGAGGGGAGTGATCTCTACAACCTGCGAAATTGCTCCATTGGCGAATGTGATTGATGACACACCCTGGGGGGAGGGAGGGGAAAACAGGGTCATGATTGGTGCCGTGAATTACATGGGGTCAGAGTTGGCTTCACTTGGGAACCTGCTGACATAATAAATAACTGGATTTCTTTCGAAGCTTGGCTCGAGGCTCATGATTTAATTAGGGCATCCATCGGAACCCTGATGAAAGGCACCAGGCTACAAATCAGGAGATTGTGAAAGCCAGCTGAGTGATTTTTGGTCAAATTCAGGAGGAGGCTGTGAGTTCTAGTCCTGATTTAGGCATTTAAAACTGGCGGGAAGACTTTGGCCGATATCACCAGGAGATGGTGAATTCTAGTCCCACATGAGAGGCAGCTGGGGGACTTTGGTCCAGTTCTTCTCTCTTAGTCCAATCCACTGTACAGGGTTGTTTTTGTGAGGAAAATTAGAGCAGGAAAGACTATTAGGTATATTTGCTGCCTTGAGTTATTTATAAAACCAATAAAGGTGGGATATGGTGTGGTCTCTTCTAAGATGCTTTCATTCTTCTTCTTTTTCTCTTGTGGGCTGAAATACCTTCTGCATGACAGTTGTTTAGGCTGCAGCTCTTCCTCTGGTCTCCGAAGATCATTCCCACATACCCTTACAAGTACAACCATAGCTTTACAAACAATCGCTTACTCCAAAGCAAATTTTCCCAAGAAACAAAAGGACAATGATTCCACCCCAGAAAGCACACCCAAGGTCAACATAGTCTAGTTAGGTTTAAGGCAGTGGTGAAATGTAAAATATGTTACTACCAGTTCTGTGGGCGTGGCTTGGTGGGTGACTGGGTGGGCGTGGCCAACTTTTTTTAAAAAATTTTTTAAAAGCATTTTAACCTCTTCGGCCGAAGAGGTTGCAGAAAAAATGCTTTTAAAAGCCTCTGGTGATCAGGCAACTCAGCTGGGATCGTCAGAGGCTTTTAAAAGCATTTTTTTCTACAACCTCTTCAGCCGAAGAGGTTGCAGAAAAAAAATGCTTTTCAAAACCTCTGACGATCCCAGCTGAGCCACGCGATCATCAGAGGCTTTTTTTTAAACTTAAAAGCATTTTTCCAGCCGAAGAGGTTGTAGAATTTTTTTTTTAATTTTTAAAATTAAAATTTTTTTTTTTAAAAAAAAACCTCTGATGATCGTGCAGCTCAGCTGGGCATGGGGTGGTGGTGGGGTGCAGGGATTTTTGCTACTGGTTCTCCAAACCACCCACCACCATCGCTACCGGATCGAGCAATCCGGTCCAAACTGGGAGCATTTCACCCCTGGTTTAAGAAATAAAATCAAAACATCCTTGGATAATGTTTTTTTTTTAATTGCATTTTTTTCTCTTTACGTATCTCTATTACATATTTAACAGATCTGTGACATTCTTCATACAACTAGAATCAATATTCAATACATTATATACATTCTATTTTTAAACCTTCTATGGACGGGGTCTTAATTAGGGCTAATTTTGTGGGTGGGACTTCATTTGATCGCATCAGCTCAAAAACGGGATAGGGCTTCTTTTCAAGGTGGGTCGTCTTTTTTGGAGAAACACGGTAGCAACAGCATCGCTAAAGAAATCCTAAAAGACTAACTTTCTGCTGTGAAAATAGTAAAAAAAGAGAAAGCATATATTTAATCCCAGCCACCAATAAAAAGATTTAGTTAAGCAAAGACATTCCAACTTCTATTGCTGCTACCTCAGCTGGGCAAAGCTTCAACTTGCCTATCAGACTATAAAGATCTTTTTCCAAATTGTGTATTAATCTGACGGTTTCCCAGGGATCTGTTTTATCCGTGGAATTAATGTTTAGGTTAATGTCCCTAAACATGAAATCAAATAAAGAAAATGTTCAGCTCCATCTAGTTTGTAAGGAATGAGGATGTGTCTCCACCTCCCCAACTCCAGGAATTCTGTTCTTAGGATCTCTTATCTTTCAGACTTGCGGAAGATGGGAGGGGAATCTAGGAAACTTTGCAAACTTCCCAAAATTGTTTAGATTAGCCCAACTGTTAACTGGCCTCCTGGCTGATCCCTGGTTGATGGACTTCAGAGATAAAGCTGAAGCCAAGAAACACTCAGCCAGCACTAAGGTGTACTATACAACCTGCCCCTTGAGAATTCAAGCATCCCTGCTAACCATTTCCAAATGGTGCTCTGTAGTTAACCCTCCTAAAAACCATGAACCAGGTGGAAGCAGTTAATGTCACATATCTCCTTTGTCAGATTGGGAAAAGAGGCTCTTGAGTCATGGCTGCCAGGAAGCAGAGTAAGTGTCATTTACGCAAATTACAAAACACGATCTTCGCAGTTGGGCTTTGTAAAGGACTGGCACAGTTCCCACAATATGTTCCGCGCAATAAGCTTCACCTCCTCGCCAGCGGTTTTAATGTCAGTGAAACCCAGCCCGGTTCAAACTGGAAGGGACCTCATAGATAGCTGAGGTCTAAAACAAAAAGCAGGATCTCCTTTCTCGCTCTTAACTTAACATTCATTGAAATCGATTCCAAGAAGTGCTTCTTGTGAGCATCAGCCCCGGGGGTCTTTGTGAAGGTCTCCCTGGTGGTGGACTAGTCCAACTGGATGTCGAG